ATCCAAAAAGGTCACTTATCATTTTGCATCCATTCCCATTCAACACATTCCCTCTGTTTATTTTTCATGTAATATTTACAACAGCTAAATCATTTATCAGAGCGTAGATGCAATGCAAGCCATATTTTTCTTTAAAGGTCATTTTCCTCCAACTATCTCTTGCATCTCCTTTTCTTCTTCCTCCTCTTCTGTAGCCAGACTCGGACCCCTACGCCTCAGCAAGCGTGATCGAGATGCAATCTGAACTGCCTGTCAATTCATACCGCCTGTGTGCGCCTGTTGTTGGTGGGAGGTGAAGGGGGGGTGGGAGACAGGCGGAGAAATAAATAATGCCATCATCAGCATATCGTGACGCTATTCCTTGTGACGTTCAGATGAAATCTGGGACACAGTTGCATTCATCGTTCAGTGAGCTCTTCCACACAGTTAAACCCACCGACAGCAATGAATGTTGATTGTGACCTTTGCTGTGGTTGGAAGCTGAAAATATTTTTTGTTTGTTTGTTTGTGGAGGATGGATGCAGTGCTCTTCTTGTGATTTTTTTCCAGGAGTCATTGGTCAGGCCTGTGTGCAGGTGTCTGTGTTTTACCTCTTTTTTTTCTTCTTCTTTTTTGAGACAGAGTGACAAAGGCTGGCCACAGGGTACAATCAACGGTCGATGGTTTTTTCAATTTAGCTCAAACTCACCGACAGCGTTGAATGTTCACTGGGGCGAGAACAGACCTGATGGTGACCGAGGATGACAGTCTGCTTAGAGATGCAGAGGAAGCAAGTCGTCTCTGTGGGTGGAAAAGCTTCTAACACTCACCCTCTCTCACTAAATCGCTCTTTCATTCTCTGAGCGGGAAGGACACTGAAAAAGTCATGAGTGTTTTACCATACTTTGATGATGCTATCTTTTCCATGTGGGCTCCAGTTCCAATAAGAGAATGAAAAAGGATTCATAGGAAGGAACAAACATGCTGAGATACATTTGTAAAATGCAGTGTATTATTAGATTTATTATTAAAAGAACTCCTGTCCCCTGTGCTCTCCTCAACAACAACCCTTGCAAAAAAAGAAACAGAAGCAGCTTTTTCCAACCTCACTTGAATCGTGGCAATGACATCGAGTCCTGTTTGCACTATTAACTCTTTGACACGCGGTCATTGTGACACCAAAGTTGTGGGAACCCATTTTGCTTCACTGCAAGTAGCAGTTAGAAGAGGGAAGTCATCTTGAAACTCCTGACTCATAGTGGGTTTTAGTAAACGCAGCACCTGGGCAAAAGCTGCAGCTAGTCGCCATATGCTGTATTTAAGCACAACGGCGTGGCCTCTAGAGAGGCACAAACATGCCTCAAGGGCTTCATGCAAGGTGGAGGATGAGGAAGACATCGGGTATGAAACCGTCGACTCACCCAGATCAATAGCGTATGTTGTTTTCGCTATGATGTGGCACTGTGGCTGAAGACTAAGGCAGTTTTTTTTCTTGCACTGATACCAGTAAAGGAACTGTCCGCCATCTTGTACGAAGGTTTTTATTACACACTGCTGACTCATTGTTGCTCATCATGAGAATAAAAAGCGCAGAGTTTGAGAAGCAGAAAAATCAAATGCCACAAAGCTGCTGTAGCAATTAGATAGGACCTGACAATAAAGCTGTGGCAGTGAGTCAAGATGTGGTCGGATGATAAATATGGTGCTGCACCTTTTTTACAGCAGGATAAGGAGTGACTAAGATGATGTGGTGGATATCTCATGTCCTGCCAAATCCCCATTGCAAACAGAAAACATAGAGTTAAAAATAACACTCTAATAGCCTTTACTATTAGGCACAGTGAGTATTAACATCTGAAGATTTTTTTTTTAAGACTTGAATTTCTACTACATGCCTGACAGCAAAGAGTGCGCTGCTTCTCTTTTCTCCTTTGGATTACAAGAGCTGCTCCTACCTTGTCATTCCCTGTGTATCTCAGTCCTCTGAAAGGCTCGTCATTTGTGAGCAAAAAAACAAAAAAAATAATCACAACTCAAAATATCTCAATCAAAATCCAGTTTTCTAGCCGCTGACATGTCACGCCAAGCTCGGACAAAAAAGCACAGTCCTTGCTGCGAGGGACACCGCTAACTTGGCCTCTCTCCACTCTCCCGAACAGTGATTTGAGTGACAGCGTTGGAATTGACAGAAGTGGATGAGAAGGAATGTCGCTTTATAAGGTCTTCTCTGACCGCAGGACGAGGGTGACAGTAGGAAGAAAGATCCGGGACACGCAACTAGAGAGAGAAGGGCCCTGAGCTGACAATGTGGCCCTAATCTGAATGACAAGGTCTGCACATCAGCCCTCAAACCAGCCTGGGTTGGGGGGGGGTGATGAGGGGAGAGAGGAAGGAGAAGGGAGAGTGCGAGAGGAATAAGATGAGACCGGGGGGGGCAGGCAAGGATGTCCTTCCTTCAAACATGTTGGCCTTAATGGCACGGACAGCTCTGACATTTAACCACTGAATCATTTTTAGATAAGTGGATGTGGTAGTTTGTGTGTGTGTGTGTGTGTGTGTGTGTGGGTGTGTGTGTGTGTGTGTGTGGGGGGGGGGGGGGGGGGGGGGGGGGGGGGGGGGGGGGGGGGGGGGGGGGGGGGGGGGGTGTGGGGGTGTGGGGGGGTGGGGGGGGGGGGGGGGGGGGGGGGGGTGGAGTTGTGACTTGTAAAAATTTCAGGAGGCGTATTCGTGGCTAAATATAAAGAGCTTTAAAATGGCAAGGAAAAAAGGAGGCTAAGGAATCATGGTGATCACGGACTTTAAAGGTAGATGGAAGAGAAGAGGAGAAACTTTGTGACTTTAAGGGGCAGTAAATTACTGGACCAGGGAGAATCTGTGCAGGAGAGGTGACCTGATGGCTCTCCCTTATTTAGTAACTACTGTCGAGGTTGTCTTGAGCAACAACACAACCCACAGTGGGGTCACTGAAGCTGCATAGCAGAAAACCCAAACTGTAATGGGCATCTCCCAAAGGGGAATTACTATGAATGTGATACAGGACGCCACAGATAAAGGCCACATATGCTGAGCAGATTGTGAATGAAAGAAAGCTGTAAAAAAAAAGCTGCTCCAAGGAACGCTGACAAAAGCAAACTAGCAGAACAAGTTTGTGTAACGGATACTGTCAAAGTTTCACAATTAGCACTGCGGACACTGTCAAAACACCACAGTAATTCCAGACTGACAGATCATACAGGAGGTGATCGAATTACTCCGAAACAACAAAAGAACCATCTGCACTCGATATTACAGTAGCGTGTGAATGCACCATTCTTTTTTTAATGTCAGAGGATATCCTTTCATCGACTGAGGTGACGGGAGACTGTTAAAAATGCAGGCCGACCACAGGAGAGGGCATATCGGGACAGTTTTTGTGCTACTTTTTGCCTACGTAGGTGTGTTTTTTTTCTTCTCTTCCATTTCACAGTCCCTCTTGTAAGTGTAGCCTGTTATCTCTCTGTAAAGATAATTTTAGGCATGCAAAAGCAAACAAAGTTTTTATCATGAGCTCGGTGGAAAATGAAAAAAAAAAAATGCTTAAAGGAGAGAAGAAAAAAGCATTCCCAGAGATGAAGCTGTAAATGTAGCTTTAAAGTCGCTGCAAATGAGCTGAAATGTAAAATCTAAAGCTCAATAAAAACTGGTAAAGGAAAAACCTACTGAAAATTTTATAATCAAGACAGTGATCAAAGTGAGTAAGGACATCAAGGTTCTTCACAAACTAATTTTGGTAATATTTAAAGTAATATAAAAACCCAAAAGTTTTTAACACACTTTTTATGTGTTAGACTTCTTGATTTTTTCACGAGATGTTCAGCTGAAACATTGCTGCATTAATAAATGTTTCCCTACTGCTTCTAATAAAATACTTCGTCACATTGAAGGCATCTGAAAAAAAAAGAAAATTTGCCAGCCAGTTTCTAACCAGCCTATAACTTTTTGGCTTGCATAAAAAACACTTCAGTGGAAACCCCAGTTTATGTCTGTCTCTCCTTCGCTCCTTCCCTCTCTCCCTCTCTCAGGAGGGGGAGGAAATTCCTGGCGAGGGTGCTGTGAGTTGTTGCTCTCTGCCTGCAGGTACAGACCGGCCTCCTCTGTCTGCCTGTCTGCAGATATCATACCGCGACGTGATCTGTTTAGCTGCCTGACTTAATGCTCACCTGCTCACGCGCCTCCGGCTCTGTTTGTGCGTGCCTATGTGTGTTTGTGCGAGTGTGTTATGTTGACTTCTTCTGTCTCCTCACAGCTGGAATGGCGTCTCCCTCTTTATCTGCTGCCCTGCGATTACAGACACATGCACACACACAGGGAGACAAACGGGTGGACCTTCACTACACTGAGGAGATATTTACAAATTTAAACAGTGTTAACTTTTCTAGCGAGCAATATGCAGTCAACAAGAAAACACACACACAAGCTGGACTGGAAAGAATGGAGCTGATTACAGTAATTGGGAGAACGGAAGCGAGGAAGGCAGGATTGTGTGTGCACTGAAACAAAGACTTAAAACCCTCTAGCATTTGCAAGAATTTACCCAAACTAGCTATACCTGTTTCAAACATGCATCTCCATCTAATTTCAATACATTTGAATTCGTAGGGGCTCTTTGCGCATCTAAATAAACACAACAAGGGGTTCGATTCCCACTTGTGTCAAAACTGGACGCTTTCCTCTCTGCTGAAAAGCTCTGGATGCATCGTGTGCCAAGCGGCATATTATGTTGTATATTTTTCGTTATTTCATCCTCAGGTTGTCACGGCGCTGACAGATGCAGGCTGACGTGTACAGCCGCGCTCACAAAACACACGCACGGACACACTTGAGTAGGGGTCTGAGTCCAGCTGGAGGTGGTCTCCTGCCAAACCTGCAGGCAGGCTGACTGTATTCATATTCATCACACACACGCTGATTGAAACTGACAGGACACACACACGGACGCACACACAGTTGGGGGAAAAAAATATCTACCAGTGAGTAAATCAATATTTCAAGGGCAAGCTGCTATTCTAAAAAAAATCATAACAAGAAACTATTTGGCCACCTCTGCTGCATTATTCCATCTTTGACTTCTTTTTCTGCAATTTTATCTGCCATCACAAAAGATACCTGCACTATGTGCTTTTTTTTTTTAAAAAAAAGGGGAAGGCCATTGAGAAAAGAGAAATAGGAGTGAATGTGTGAGAGAGACAGCCACAATTGGATGTAGACTAGCAGCAGTGAGTAATGTCGTGAGAGAGGAGCAGACTGGGGAGAAAAAGCGAGAAGTGAATAATAGCCAATAGGCTGGGAGAGCGACAGGAGCGAGAGAGATGGAGGAAGAGCGCCTCTCTCTCTTACACACACACACACACACACACACACACACGCACAAAGCAGAGACTCCGCAGGGCGCCAAATAATAACCTTCCTTGTCATTATCATCGCCCAGCCAAACCGCTCTCCACTCCTCCTCCACCTCCTTCCGTCTTCAACACAATCATTGCCCTATCGTTTACAGTGTGCTGCTAAATGGGAACATCAATAGACACATCCATTAGCAGTGCGAGTCCTTTCCTCTCTGATTCTCAAGTGCTTTAATAGCCAGCACACACACACACACTCTCATGCCGCACCTCGGCCGACTGTTAACCAAGCTAGCCTCGCGCAGGCAAAGCCGAATTGATGGAGTGTGTCATTACAGCTGGTTAGTAACAGTTGCTGTGAGGGCGGCGCCGTCAGTCAACCTGGAGCTAGAAACTATGAGGACGGGGCTGCTTTCTGATTTAAGTAGCTTCCGTACAAGCAGCGTTGTTCTTATATTTATGTTTTATTTATTTATTTTTTCTCATGTCTGTACTGCTATGCTGTAATATTTTTGTGTTGCTCTTTTCAAAGATCTCCGTTTCATCTTTTCTGGCAACCATTGCTTATGATAACTACCAAAGTCATCTTGTTTGTATGACACAGAAACAACTGCCTCTTTGGGAAGTATTTTCCGTGGGAAAGACCTGCCAGACATGAGGGGTTTAAACCTTAAAGTATGTGCATGGAAATGATATAGCTCTGTTATATCCATTAGTAACAGTGGGCAAACTCATAAGCACTGATTTGTATGGTTAAGGAAAATTTAGGCCACCTATTAACAGATGAATCCAACACTGGCATATGGCAAAATGTTAACGTCTCTCCTCCTCTTTTTAAGTCAGTGTAGTACAGTTTTTTTTTTATTTTTTTCTCCCATAACTCAGGACACATACAAGACAAGTTAACGCAAACTAATTATATTTGTTGTTCACTTATGAGCTACTGTGTTCAAATGTTCAGAACAGTTCATAAACACAGAGGTTCCCTGAGCGTAAAAGGACAAACTATCATCCTAAATGTAATGTGCAAAGGCCCCAAAAATAAAAACCTAATCAATTATACAAAGAGGCCAATCTTATTTAGAAGTGCATTAATACCTTATTAACCTCAGCCTGAACTTTCGTCACTGTTAACTACGGATGCAAATTAAGTACGGGCAGCCATTTGACAGTTTAATGAACATCAAAATAAACCCCGCCCGATCCCATCCGAAACAGAGCGGAATGAGAAAAAGATAAGGAGGGGACGAGAAGGGCAAATACAGCGGGTGGAGAGGGAAGGAAGGGCTTCCCACAATGCTGCCTCACACACTGTAATTTCAGCACGCGTGCATGGCTTTTTTTTTTTTTTGATGAAGGGCGAAGCAGGATGCTGGGAAGCCTGGGAGGGGCACAGGGTGGGTAGGGGGGGTGGGGGGGGGTGGGTGGACGTGGGGGTTTGTGGGATATGTGGTGCAGCTGTTAAACTTGAGTTGTGGAGATTGGTTTCGACTGATGGAAATAGAAAAAAAAACAAAAACGAAGCAGGCTTTGTGCACACACACACATGCAGACACACTAGAAATGGCATGCATGACAGCAGACACACACAATTAAAATTAAAATGGAACTGCATAAATTAAGATTTGCTCAAAATGAGACATCCGAATTTGATTGAAAGACGTTCTTTTCATTGTTTATTTACCAGCACCGAGAAACTACTTTTCAGAAGTTAAATGACTGAATTTAGCTAATTTATTTTATATTCTTATTTTATTTATTTAATTACTGAATTTAGAGCACTTTGGAATCCAAGTAGTCAATTTGTCTTTAAATTACTCAGAGGAGAAAATAGCAGTGGATAATGAGGTTTTTTTTCTCACATTCACACTATTATTGTCCCCCTAACTCGGTGGTCTCTGATTCTTACCGTAACAGGCATGTGTGTGTTTGTGTGTGTGTATATGTGTGTGTGTGGCAGGGTGGTGTAGACCGCAGACAGACTCTAGGTGCCGTTGTACGTGTGTGAATGCGTGCCTCCTTCATGTCTGGACCTGGACAGAAAACAAACAGAGAAGAGAAGAAAGCAGAGGATAAATTCAGGTGTTGTTTGGTAAACCATGTTATTAAAATGTCATAGACACATAGACACACACACACACTCACACTGTGATGTGTACATATATTATTCAACAGCACCGACTGATGTGTGTAACAGTATTAGCTGGAGTAAGTCTGCACTTTCATGTCATATGTACAGCAAGCCCACTCACAACCCCAGTTCCTATTTACAGTCTGGGTGGTCTCGAGACACAATGACAAGCAGCCGCCGTGTGTGTACATTAACACATGATTCATCTTGAAAAAAAGAAAAGTTTTGACGTAGGCTAGGTGGTTAGACGAAAAATACTGTGACACCTCGAGAATAAGAGCCCCGCTAAAACAAACATGTAAAATCAGCCTTTGAAACCACTTTGTAAAATCAAATCTGGATAAAACATGCGAGAGATTATGTCTCTTCTAATACAGCTAACATGTCACTTACGTGCTTTTATGTGATGCCCCAAACACAATAAAGAATTTCAGGATAATGACAGCACTGACTGTAAAGTATTATATAGAGCAGGGTGTCTGACAGGCCCACAGCACGATGAGGCTGGGAGTGATGTGCACTGAGACAGAATGAGCTATCAAAAAGAATTTAAAGTTGACCAGAAGGTATTCAACTAAACCGACACATGATTTACTTTGTCTGAAATAATATGTTCAAAACACAAGTAGCAATGTGACAAACATGTATTCAACTTTTCAATGACCCATCAAAATAAAAGTACAATAAAAAGGACGTAACATGGTCCATGTGTATAAAGTCTGTCTGTTGTTTAAAAGGCTAACATTGTGTGCTCCCTGCCAAAATGCTTGTCTAAAAAGAAGCTAAAAAGCAAATGAGAGCTGCAACTAATGACTTTTTTCTTGGCTAATCAGTAAACCGTTTTAAGAAGTGTCAGAAAATAATAAAAATGGAAGTCACAATTTTCTAAACCCAAGTTTACATATTCAAATTGCTGCTTAAAAATGGTTGCAGAAAATAATTTTCTGTGAATTGACCGACCAACTATCTCTGGCATATTTTACAGTTAACATAATTTAGAGTAAAACAGCATCAGGAAAGCATACATGCCCCAAATGTGGACACTGTATGACATTATGAGACAATAAATAAATAAAAATATGCACTTATTATCACTATCACGAGTAGTAGTAGTAGTATTGAGTCACATGACGGTTTTGCCATCATGGTTGTTCTCTGCATCCCCCAATGTTTTCTCTGATTCGAGTGCCATTTGGTCTCCCATTGTGACTAATAATGAGTCACACTGTGTACTCTGAAAGCTGTGGGTTCATTTGTAGTCAATAAGCACATTAAAGTTCCTGTGGAAGACATATTCATCAGTGTTTTTTTTTAAACTACTTTGGCCGCCCTAATGATTTCTTTGAGCACCCTGCCGTTTGTAGTTTTTAAGAAGTCCCTCAAGAGTCCTTTTTACTTTGCTTCAAGAACCTTTTGGTCATTGGCACACGCGCAGGCGAGTGGTCATAGTTAGATGTGGCATGTACAAGTGCTTCTTACTAAAGATATCTACAAGTCTAAATGTGCTGTGTTTGAGCATGCATGCATGTCCTAACCAGTTCCATTTTTGGTTTGTGTAAACACTGTAAACAGTGGCGTTCTGAAGCTTAAATGTGATCCAGGACCGGACTGTCTAAGGCCAACTTCAAACTTGACATGTTATTATGTGTGGTAGTAATATTTTATGCTCACATCAGTCTCCTTTTTTTCTTTCATTTCACATGCACTGAGTCCCATGTATTATTTAAGGCAGTCTAGACACAGCTCTAATGAAAGCCACGCTAGAAAAATAACGCCACAGCTGTAATAAATGGAGCTGAAAATTCCGAGAAATTATATGTGCAATCTGAAAAACCTAGGTGCAAAACGAAAACACACACAAGAAAGAAAAGTCTCGCCAAAAGGTTATTGAAAGGTGGCTTGCTAACACAGCCTTACGAGTGAAATATAGTTCCTCTGAATTCCTCTCAGCCGGATCTACATTCATACAGAAAAGAACAATGATTGACCTTGGCCAGATGAAAAATTGCCTCAATTGTTCATACTTCACTTTGATGTTAAATACAGTGAAACAGGGCCGCACAGGAAAGCTGCTCACCACAGCTGAAGGAGAAATTAAACCTTTTATGCGGCTAAGAACTACCCCCCTTGCTTCGCTTTTTAAAGTTCCAACTCTGTTCGATTGCCTGCCTCTGCCAGAATATACATGCAATTTACTATTTCTGTCTTGCCGAGGTAACGTATCCTTCAGCTAGTACTCTTTCTGTGTTCCTTCCTACAATCACTATGTTTCTTTAAACCACCTCCTGCATCATTTCTCTCCCACCTCTCCATCTCTCTCTCATTGTTTCTGCTCTCCCCTGCTCCCATCCCTTTCTCTCTTTCTCTGCTCCAGTAAGCAGACTTGCAGAGACCAGGGAGGGCACCTCAGTCATTAAGGTCCCGGCACGGCGTCACCAATTTATACTCTCATTAACAGATCCATGTGCTGCTCAGTACATTAAAAAAAACAACAACAACAACCCGGGACCACCCACGTGTTTAGGCCCCCTCAAAACAAAACGCAACAATAAAAGATCTGTGTTCTCTCTGCCGGCTAAATGAGCCAATTCACGCGAACGGAAAAAAAGAAGTTGCAAATTAACGGACGTTTGAGGGCTCCATGGTACACGGGGTGTTTATGTGTTAACGAGAAAATGTCATTAATCGGGAGGGAGTGCTGGAAGAGCCCTTGTTGTGGGACTGACTGGCCTTGCAGTTTTTTGTTCTTTTTCCACAAAATAAAGGAAGTCTTGTAAAAATTACAGTTTGTTTCCAAATGTGTCAGAAAATAAAGTGCGTGTAAAACATTCTTCTCTTGGTTAGCATGAGAGTTTTCAAACTGTGAAGTGGTTATCAGGAGAATGACTGAAGCTGTGCAACACTGACGCCTTATTTCAAGAGACACAGGTGACATTTTCTGTCTCTGCTACAGAGGTGCTGCGGGGTCAAGCAAATAAACCCAGCTAGGAGTTATCAGTGGACACCTCCCTTGCAATTTGAGGCCAGTTTTGGTTCTGCGTAGCTGAAAGGGCAAAGAACACAAAACAGTTAAGTTAAGAGTTCCACTTCCACTGGGCCACCCATGGTTGAAATGTAAGATACTGGGTAGAGTAAGAGATGTCTGCTGTCTACGGAAAAAATCCTGCAATTACAGTTTTTTTTTCCTGCAAGTTTTGTCTCGGGTTCTTTGAGCTAAATCAGTTCACATAGAAAACTATCTTGAAGAGTAGAGAAGCACTTACGGTCTTTGTGGTAACCTTATACGTGTAGCCCTTTTTTTTGGGATCAGATGGCTTCAGTTCAATACTGAAATAAAGATCAGCATCAAACTGTAAAATGGCTTCCAGATAAAAGTTTGTCAAATGTTGCTAAAGTTGATTCTGACGACACTGACTCAGTTGTTTTTTGTGAAGGAATAATCTGTAAGTGTACCTCTATGAATGTCAGGTACGTCTACCCACTGCTTTGATCACTTTGGATTTTTTTTAATGTGCAAAAAAACGACGTACCAGACGAGGAAACAAGTGACATGGCTGTTTGCATTTCTTTACCTTTTATGTCTGAGCATACTATATACACCGATCTTTGTCCTTTGTCAGAATATGTCTGAGTTCTTACCATATTGCGCCTGTTTGTAATAAAACTAGCACAGGCATGTAGAGCTAGACCACCCAGAGCAGTTACCCAAACACCCTCCTTGCTCACAAAAAAAAGAAAAGAAAAGTCACTAGTCTTAATTATATCCATCCTCTGGGCGTGTCTTTCTGCCCAAAACAGACATCTGAGCCACCCCCCCCACCAACAGGCCACAAACCTCACCGAGGCCTTATGGAAAGAACTTTTTGGTGAACACATTGACCTTAGATGGAAATAAACCTATTCAGCGCTGTGAGGAGTTATTTTCACCGAGGTTACAAAGGCAATCTGATTTCATATTGTTTATTGTTGGATTATCTCCTCCTGTACCCTGTAGGCTTGTAAATGATCCCACACATAAAAAGTTCCTGCAGAGGGTTCTTTTGATAACAAAATCTGCAGGATGTCAAAATCAAGTGGGTGAATTGTTTACCATATCAAAAGAAGTTGGGATGAAATACCAATATAATATCAAAACCTGCACAGAGCCAGCCACTTAGATGAAAGAGAGAGAAAGAGACAAGACAACGCGTGTATGTGTGTGTGTGTGCGTACACGCCCATACGTTGTAATAAGGAGGCGTCGGCTCCAGGGAGGAGGTTGTTGTGACTGCACTCTTCTTTTTCATGATCTATAATTTTCAAACTGGCAGTGTGAGGGGGCAACCAAGTGGTGTCCACAATAGAGAGACATAAAGACATAGAGAGAAAGAGGGAGCGTCTACACAGGCAGGACCCCAGTGGCTATCTGCCAGACAAATCCTCCCTGGGCTTTGATCCTCTGCCCACTTCTCTCTCTGCGGTTTTTGTTTTCAGGCAAACAACTGTGATGTTTAGCCGAAGTGCAACGAGATTCCAAGGCCCCCAAAAAATGCAGGACTCTTTAAAAATCTGCTGCTGCAAATGAAACCAAAACAAAGGAACACTAGCACGAAAGAGCTAATTTAAGATGGACGAGGCTAAAAATAAACAAAATGGTCATCACTGCTGTCCGGTCCTTCCTTCCTAATGTTTTCAATATGCTATCCACCAAGGATCAAGGGGTTAATCTGCTTCTGTTGTATTTTAGCGGAGATGCTATCGAAGGCCATTTGTTCCAAGCAGCGAGGCTAATGACCCTCAGCCGACGCTTGCCGTTTGGCCAGGAAGAGCAAGGGAAGGTAAGTAACCTCATATATTCTCGGGGGCTGAGCTAATGAGAGGGAATGGGAATACGAGCTACGGTCCATCATCTAGTTAGGACCTA